TTTTTTTAAAATAAAATGAAATAATTATTTCTGCTTATTATCATGAATTTTAGGCGCGATAAATTTTATGCGCACACGACCTCATTATTTTGAAAAATAACCTTTTTAATAAAAATTGTGATATTTTATCTATATTGGAAAATTTGAATGCTGTAAATTATTAGAAATAAATTTATTTATTTTTTTTGTCTATTGTTAGAAAATTTTAGATACTGTAAAATTATTAGAATTAAATGTGATATTTCTGTTGTTTTTGAATATTTAGACATTGTAAATTTCATGTGCAAATGACTGCCTTATTATTTGACAATTAATATTTTTGCAGTTGATTATAGCATTGTTGTGAAATGTTTAATTGCGAATTGACATCTCATAAATTGTGATAATTCCGTATTCTTAAAATTCTATAAGAGTTTTTCTATACATATTAAATTGGCAATTATACTAGAATGTCTTTGCGAACTGCTACCTTTTTAAATTTGAGACCAAAATATTTGATTGGTTATTTTTGAAATGTTATTGAAAGTGACTGTTATTAATGGTTTAAATTAAATTCATATTAATGATTTCAGTGATATGTTGAGTACATGATATTGCTGCTTTCGAATGTTTAAAGAGATTTAGAAATAATTTAAGTATGCAAGTGGACTCATCCGGTTCGCCGGTGAGGTATAAGTGGACCTATCCGGGACGCCGGTAGGGATTAAGTGGACTAATTCGGCACGTCGGTGAAGTATAAGTGGACCTGCAGGGATTAAGTGGACCTATCTGGGACGCCGATAGGGATTAAGTGGATCCATCATGATGCTGATGGGGTATATAGGCGACCTACTTGGGACGCCAGTAGAGTAATTTTGTGAAATCGTTTGAATTATGCATTGATGTTAAAATGTTATATGCATTTCAATCATTTGGATTATGTTTAATTGTGCATTTCTGAAAGTGAAAATGCTATCTATAAATGCTTGTGCTTGCATTGTTTTTAATTGACCTCCATTTTGAAAGTTTGTTTATACCTTTCATTGATGATTATTTTTAGGATTATGATGATCACTTACTGAGTAGCCAAACTCATCAAACTATGGTAAAGATTTTTCAGGATAACTGCAGTTTCATTTTGAGTGCTCGGGATCAACTTTAGAAGATACTGTATTTGTGCCTAAGCTTTCATTTGTTACTTTGTAAGAATTCGCCACTGTAAATTTGTCTTATCAAGAGATGTATTTATGTTTTGACTGTCACATCTTAGGAATATCTGTATCGTAAATTCTTAGGGTGTGACAGGAACCCTATAAAATGAGATATTTAGGTAAATTTGCGCATATAAGTCACTCAAGCCAACTTACCTATTTCTCTTGCTTGTTCAGGACTCCAAACCAAACAAATGTTTTTCACAGAAAAAAACATATATCATTTTTTTGTGCTCGAAACAAGCGGTTATTGGTAATGCCCTTGTTGGAACAATATATTTTTATTAAAGAAACTATTGTTGGTTTGGGACATGAATAATGACGCAGAAAGGAGGCGGAAATGAAAACAATTCTTCAAGGCCTCATGCTCATAAAGTGATCACAACATAAATCATAGAAGGATTCACTTCTATAATGCTGTTGTGATGGCTTTATATGGGGAGAACAATGAGGTGCTGATTTTCAAGTGTTTGTACAAGGATGACGTCCTAAACAATCTAATGCACATCTTCAAATAATGTCGAAAAATATTGTTTTATTACTAAAAATCTTGGTAGCGTCCTTAAAATTAATTTTTATTTATAATTATAAAATTTAAAGCTTCATAATTCTTGTAATCAAATAGATCTATAAACACTTGAAAATCTTGAAATTTGATGGTCCAAAAAGTGCATTACAAAATGCACTATTTCCAAGATTTGAAATCCATTTTTTCTTATATTCATATATCTTGA